GCAATATTTTAAACTTAAACTAAATAATATTTGTTTCAAATCAGATTAATTATACTTTAAATCAGCTAATATTCCTCAAAGTTTCAGAAAAGCATATTTTATTTTTGGAAGATTTTTAATGAAGAGAATTACATTGCAACAAGTAATGACTAAAAGGGCGCTAATCAGCTATTTTAGAAAAAAAGATTCTTTCCAGTCAATTTAAATTAGTTTTTGAAATACAGTAAAGTATTTTGCTTATTAGAAATATTAAATTTATCTATTAGCTTGAAATTAAATCTAAAATAAGATTCAAGAACAATTTTTCATTTTTTTAAAATTTATTTTAAACATTAGCTATTTTTGGGGGAGAGGTGATAGTCCTATATTAAATGTTTTACACTCATTTTAATACTGGGAGATTTAAGACATTTACTGGGCATTATCCTTTCTCTCTGTTTCTCGTGGTTTACTGCCACCTGCTTACCCCCTTAATAAGAAATATCCACATGTGACCTTAGTTACACAAACATGCCAATAAAACAATTTATCAAGCAAACTTCAAATGAATAAAATATGAATGCCAAGTAAAATTTCTTGTAAATCAATTCAATATTGTCAACACTAGCAGATGTTTTAATAGCTGTTCCGCAAACACTAACTAGCCACTTCAGTAGTTACTCTTAATTGTAGTTGGAAGTATCTTTGCTAAGTTTTAAATATTTTTGCACTCCAAGCTTTGATTCTAAAGACAATATTCAGTTAAAATGAAGCCAATAAAAGCTTAAGCTCTTATTTTATTGAAATATTGAGTTAGTGACCATTTATAAATAGTTTATTTGGAATTTGGATGTAAGTAAATTTAGCTATTAAGCATAAATGTTAATGTTAAAATTTGCCACCAACCACAAATGTTAGCATACCCAGTAAAAATTAAAAGTTAATCTAAAGTTTTTTTTGTTTTTTTTTAAATTACAAGTATGAGAAATCCTATATGAAGCAAAAAAAAAAAAAACACCTTTGCATAAATTATTAAACACACACACACAATTTTTTTTTTTTTTTTTTTTTTTTTTTTTTTTTTAAAGACAAGTATCATATAGAAGAAATAGTTCGAAGGGAACATTTTATTTAATGTTTTCTCAAGTGCGCAGGCTGATAGACTGTTTAAAATACATGGACAACAATCCTTCTTTTATGTTTCATTGAACCATAATGATTTTTTTATTCAGTTTTTCTAGTATCCTTACAGTATTTTTATGAGGACTATGTGTGTGTGTGTGTGTGTAGAAACTATCTATAGTGATTCTTTTCAAGTGGCTTCAACTAATTCATTAGGCATTTTCAAAAGTTTCATTTTTAGTTTAATTTGTGTCTCTATTCTGAGCTGTGTTGTATAGAAGTAGTAGTAATTCCAACTCTACTCCCTGCTTGTGTAAGAAAAATCTTTATAAATAATAGTTATTTTAAAAACATTTAATTGTAATAGATATTTAAAGATAATGGAAGCACTTTTTATAAAACAGTATGAACCTACACTCAAAATTACTTGCTTTGAAACTAGTTGTAACATATTAGTGCTTTGAAGGCACCCCAAGATAAAATTACTTCTATGCAACACAGTACAAACACAAAAATATACTAACAATGAATTCTTTGGCAATAGCTAATGGATTCTCTGAAAGTTCTTGGGACAATAATCACTATGGAAAGTTTCTACACATTGCTTAGTCTTCATAAAAGAAAAAAACTGTAAGGACATTAGAAAAATTGAATAGAAAAAAAAAAATAAAATTTTTCTTGTCCATCATATTTAAATGACACACACACACACACACACACACACACTAATATGAAAGAAAAACAAAAAAACATTATTGGAACCAATTAACAACTTGGCAGAACCTAAACCTCTTATCCAGATAGTCTCAAACAAGAAAAAAAAAAAAGACAATACTGAAGAGAAGAAAACAGGCCTAAAGACAAACCTACCTACTCAGTAAAGTGCTTATTTAAATGATGAAGCAATTTAATTATATAAGCCAGCAACACAGAAAATTATATGAGCTTTTTATTCAGTTTTTCTAGTGTCTTTCTGAGGACTAAATATGTACAAAAATGTCCATAGTGATCATTGTCCCCAACCATTTCTGCTAATTTATTAGCCATTTATCAAGGGCTTCAATGTTAAGGCATTTTTGCATTTGTATCCTGTGATGTAGAAGTTGTAATTCCAATTTAAGCACTCATAATATTAAAATATCTACCCACTTGAGTGATCTTAATTTGAGAAGGAAGATATTAAACACACAGTTCCAATTCCCCACTCCCATAAGGAAAAACATATAGGTGATAGTCATTTTAAAAACATCTAATTGTAAAAGTGGTTTAAAGATAATGGAAGAACTTTTTATAAAACAGTATGGCCCTTTGAAACTTGTAACATATTCAGAGAGTTTTGAAGGTGCCCCCCCCCCAACATGGAATTACTCTTATGCAACACAGTACAAACACAAAAATATACTAACAATGAACTCTTTGACAATATCTAATGGGTTCTATAAAAGTGCTTGGGACAATAATCTCTATGGAAAATTTCTACACACTGCTTAGTCTTCATAAAAGAATAAGGACATTAGAAAAAAATAAAACTGATAAAATTTTTCTTGTCTACCATATTCAATGAAACACACAACACACACACACACACACACACACACACACACACACACATATATGAAAGAAAAACAAAAAACCATTTAACACATAAATATAGCATACCTTAAAACTATATTTTATATATATCTCTTTTCATTTGGTTTGAGTATTAGCTTTGTGTTTGACATCAAAAGTGTGCTGGCTTCATTTCTCTCACTTGCTCACAATGTATGTTCTTAGTTGTGTGTGTGTTTTTTTTTGTTTCAGAGAGGAAGATTTGAGATGTCAGTATGTTGAAAAACTGGTTCATTCTTTTATCAAAGCTTAAATATCTGGTCATAATAGATGATGATTTGTACATCTGAAGACTTGATGTCTTGCTTAATAAAATGTAGCTAAAATGTCTTTTCACTTAATCAGGCTATTTTGTGATAGAAATCTCTGGTTAAGCAACTAAAAATTAATTGGTGCTATATTCTTATCCCCCCCTCCCTACCAATTAAAAATAATATCAAGTCAAATTTAGATTGTTCTTTTAAAGTCCTGTTATTCATATAAATGATTAAACATATGTTCAATTTAAGTATTGTTACTTTCTAACAAACTAGTCCAGCATAACTGATTAAAGTCTGCTCATGCTCCCAATCAGATCATTGTGTTTTTTAGTCATCACTTTAAAGAAAAAAAAAAAAAAAAGGTTATAAGACTTTATGATAAATATTTTTACAATGATGTCAATACTTCCATTTTGAAAACCAAAATTCTGCTAGTGTTACTCATGTAACTAATGGAAATTTTCTAGTTGAAGAGCTGCTTTGAACGATTATAATTCTCTCCAACTTCCAAATTTTTTTATTTTTTTTTTGTTTGCTTCAGCTTCATGATCCAATAGTAATGAGAAATACAATTTCTCTATTTGGGGAAAATGCCATAAGTGAATTCACACAGATACACCTTTTTTGGAGGGGCTGGTTTACACATTTTAAAAAAAATTAATTTCAATTTTATATAACAGGGTGCAATGGATAAATTGTCTAAATTACACAAAATGGAAATAATACTAACATCTCATTTTAACAGATATATTTACCAAAATTACACAAAAATATCCTTAAATACTAAAGATTAAATTTATTTAATAAAATCGCCATTGGCTTCAACCACAGCCTCCAGACAACTTCTTCTAGATGGTCTCCTTGTTTAAGTTGGTGAATTCTGCCATAATCTTTGCCTTCAGTTCATCTTTGGTGTTACAAGGAGTTTTTTCTGCACCCTACACTTAAAAATCAAGAGGATTGCAGTCTAGGTAGTTAGGTGGCCAGGTATAAGGAGTGATGTGGCTGCTTGTGTGGCATGGTGCAGAGTCTTGTTGCCAGACATAAGGTCTTCCAGCAGCCACCCTCTTGACCCAGGGCAGCATTACCTCCTCAAGGCACTTGATATAGGCCTCTGTGTTGAGTTTAAGGCCCTCACCAACAAATTCAGGAGTTCTTATCAGAATGATCAGAGTGAGTTTTCTGAGTTGCCGTACCTTTGTAATCACCATTAGACTCATCAAACTCTTTCCGAATCCTCTGCACTGTCCTCAGATTGACACCCAAACACTCTGAAATGTTCATATTGGAGCTTCCAGTGCCAATGCCAAGCACTACAGCATCCCATTTCAAAATTCCTGGCAGGGTGAATTGTGTTATGGTGGTCTTTTGCTCAACTGACCCTATTATACTGTGCAGTCAACAAAAATGATGCACATGTGTGAAATTAAAAACATAAAATTGCGATAATTTATCCATCGCACCGTTTATATACAGAAACTTTTTTTTTTTTTTTTTTTTTTGTATAGCCAGTGGAGATTTCAGTTTAGAAAAAACCAAAGCCATTTTTCAACAATAAAAATTTAAGTGATATGACAAAAAAAGGTCCCAAAACTTTAGCGGCACAAGAAATTTCAATGCCTCACCTGGAACCAGTTCAGCTCATTTACGACTTTGGTTTATAAAAGAAAAAATTAAATTGAATTAACGAAGTGGCAAAAACTTGGTCATGTAGAGACCTGAATCAATGTTTGATAGTAAGAAACTGATTTTGTTTTACAATGTATCAACAACTGTAACAAATGTTTGCTTTTATTGTTATTATATAAATGGAGACCTACACAATAGTAGTTCATAGTGGATGAGAAGATGATGCATCAATCTAAATTCCACCATCAACCTTGAAAGAAGATGTTGAACTTTGGCAAAAATAGAATTGGTTTAAAATGCTGAAACCATTCATATGAACATTTAAGCTAGCTTGAGATAGCATATTCAAAATTCAGGCAGCACTCAGTTTGGTAAATAAAAAGGGTGTCAATCATGATAATGCTATCTTATACAGTTAAAATTGAATCAGTTGTAGATGGAGACTTCATTGTGTATCTACTCAATTTGCCTAACCTCTCAAAGATTTTTTTTCTTTCTTTCAAGCATCTGGAATATTACTTTAGAATTTCTCCAAATAGGCTTAAATTGAAGAAGCCTACAGTAAATTTGCTAATAAAATAAAATCTTTAAAAAAGGAATTTATGACTAGAGCAATAAATGTAGTGGGAACAATTTCATTGTATAATTTACGTAAACATTAAAAAATATATTTGTTTATATATCAGTTTTTACTTTGAGTTTTGCAAATTTTCCCAGAATTCTGCTGACATCAAGAGAGCTTTGTTTTTGGTTTGAAATCTCTTTATTTTTTAAATTTGTTATAAATTTTTCTAATCTGAATTTTATTCAGAAGCTCTGCTGCCTTAGCCAATATTCTATTCTATAAAAGAGACAAGTTGTATGTTGTAGATTTTCAAGAAAATCCTTCCTTCCTTCCCTCCCCTCCTTCCCCTCCTTCCCTTCCTCCCTCCCTCCTTCCTTCCTTCCTCCTCCTTCCTTCCTCCCCTCCTTCCTCCTCCCTCCTTCCTTCCCTCCTTCCTTCCTTCCCCTTCCTCCCTCCTTCCTTCCTTCCTCCCTCCCTCCCTCCCTCCTTCCTTCCCTCCCTCCTTCCTTCCCTCCCTCCTTCCTCCCTCCTTCCTTCCCTCCCTCCTTCCTTCCCTCCATCCTTCCCTCCATCCCCTCCCTCCCTCCCCTTTTCCTTCCCTCCCCCTTCCTCCCTCCTTCCTCCCCTCCTTCCTTCCTCCCTCCTCCTTCCTTTTCCCTCCTTTTCCTTCCCTTTTTCCCTCCCTCCTTCCCTTCCCTTCCTTTTCCTTCCCTTCCCTTCCTCCCTTCCTTTTCCTTCCTCCTTCCTTTTCCCTTCCTTCCTTCCCTCCTCCTTCCTTTTCCTTCCTTCCCTTCTTCCTTCCTCCTTCCCTTCCTTCCTTTTTCTTCCTTCCCTCCTTCCTCCTTCCTTTTCCTTCCCTTCCCTCCTCCTTTCCTTTTTCCTTTTCCCTTCCTCCTCCTTCCTTTTCCTTCCTTTCCTTCCTTTTCCTTCCTTCAGATTTACATGAATTAGTAAAATACCTTAGCAGATTTTTTTTTTATATTTGTCTTTTTCTACTTTCAGGATGCACCACCTTCAAAACACCTAGAAATGTAAGTATTTGCTTTTGCTCTCCATCTCACTTTGAAAATCTTTCTTTCAAAAAACTGTAAAAAAAGTGTAAACTTGATTACTGTTATATACCTATTCTATTGTAATAGACTCTCCCACATTTAATAAATAGTATTAGTAGCAGTTGCCAGGGAGCTCAGTGAGTTGGTGATACATTAAAGTATCAACCACCACAACTAGATTGCTGCGTCATTAACTATTATTTCAAGTTCCTAATGTTTTGTACGTCGAACCTTTTTTAGGACTGACTTAGTGAAATACAAGCCTCCACTGTGAAAACTACTCTACAACAATTACCAATTGCTTTTATGAAGCGGCAATGTAGCAACCCAAATTTTACTTTATATACACTTGAAACTAGATAATCAAAAAGTAATGTTAATTGGACACTTTGGTAACTTTATATTATTTCTTAAAGAAAAACAAAACATTATGGATACGTAAAAAAAAAAAATCTTTGAAAATTAATTCCTGTTTTGTGGTATCTAACAATGAAGCCATTTGTCTTAATTATACAACCTTTCAATTTTAAGACATAAAATTTGTTTGATTTATTTTAAACTCAATTCTTGCTCACTTGGTAAAAGCTTTCTTTTTTTTTTTTTTTGTCTTAAACACTTCACTTCATGTTGTTGTACATAAAATATAATTAACCAACTTTTTTTTAACTTGTTTGATATCCTTTATAATTGTAACCAAGAATAAGGAACAGTGATGGCATCTCCTACAGTATCCAGTATATGTAAGTTAGACTTAGACATTTCTGTATGTCCATGCAGTAATTTTACTATCTTCAAATTTCTAGCACTAAGACAGAGGAGTATAGGGTGTTGTTGTAAGGTACTGATTTAGAAAAGATATTGCCAAGATATTTTAAATTTAATTAAAAAAAATATATTTTCCAATCTTATAAGATTAGAAAAGGTAACCTCAAGTAGTTTGTATTTTTCTTTATTCTTCCTCATTTTTTTCCTTCTTTCCTTTTCAAACTGCTTTAGTAGGATTTTGTTATATAAATAATTGGTCTAGTTGCTAAACAGTAACTATTAAGGTATCATATTAATCTGAAAAAAGGAAAAATAAATAAATAAAAAGCCTGAAACTTAAATTTATCAATTTGTCCATCCTTAAGAGTTGAGGGTTTTTTTTTTTTATATAAAGTTGTATCATTTTATTTATATTGCATAAACTCATAATAATTCAGTTAATGTGTTCACCCATTTTGAAGCCACTCAAAGTTATAAATACATCCCCAAACCATACTAATAGCTTGGTAGTGAAACTTAGGATTTCTCAGTTTTCTGTCAATTGATTTTGATAAAACTTTTCCCAGCTGGTTTACACAATTGTTAGGCTTTCATTTTTCTGTGTAACATACTTTATTTTATATTCAGATTCAACAGTTTTAATAGCTTTTGAATGAAAATAACCTGTGTAGACATTTTTTGGAGAAAATCAAGGATGATACATATTAAGCATGCCTTAAGTATATATTTAACAGAAAACCATAATAATATTACATGATTTATTGACATAATGAATTATTTGGCCACATGAGCACCATTTTGATGGATAACTTCAAAAACTATTAGTCATGAAATCTGTCAAATTTTTATTGTAGCAAGTTTGACAGCATCTGCTGCAGCTTTGGTCACCCATAAGATATCTTTTGATGTAAATTGGTGTCAATCGGCATAAACATCTTGTTTAATGATGGACCAAAGATTTTCGATAGGGTTGAGATCTGGAGAGGCAGACGGCCTCACCATTGATATTTCACCTTGTATGCTATAAGAGCCTAGGAATGCTTGGGTGACCCTGGCAGTGGGATACAGCATTGTCATGCATGAATACTAGAATCCTTAGAAGTGGCAGGGGTATGTAATCTAGCCATGGATCCAAGACCTCCTTTAGGAGATTGCAGTAAATGGCTGCGATCACTTTAAAGACTTCAGGTACCATGACTGGGCTAACAAGTCTGTCTCCAATGATACCACCCCACAACTTCACTCCTCCACCCTGTTGTTGTTGTAAACATTGGTGATGATCATCTCCAAAATTGACCCAACCATTTGCCCAACCGCCAGGTCCATCCTGGTCTTGTCAGTGAACAGAACATGACTCATGTCCAACATCATGTACTTCCAAGCCCATTGAAGACTCAAATTCCTGTGACAGGATATTAAAGAGGCAGTTTTAAGGGATCTTGCATGGAAGCTATGGTCCAAGGGTGCAATTTCTGGTGGTCTTCAGTACATGAGGCAGTAAAAATGGCTTTGCTTGTTTGTCTGGATTTCCCACGTGACTTTCAGATAATATACCTTAAATCCGTAGCTGTTATAGTCTTAGAGGTACTATAATCTGATCATTTCTTCCTTAGTGAAGGATCCCACAGGAATGGTCCATGTCCACATGACTACCTAACTTCTCCACAATAACATGAAGAGAGGTGCCTTTAGCACTTTCCTTGATGAGAGATTTTTCTTCATCGTTGAGGCCTTTTCCATGTCCTATTGTTTTTAGAGAGGAGAGACGCTATTAGCATGGTTCACCCAAAAACTGTCAAATCTGAAATAAAATATGAAGGACATTACACAGAATAATGAAAACCTAACAATGGTGTTGCCATATTGTGTAAACCAACTGAGGAAAGTTTTCTCTATCAATTCAAAGAAAACCAAGAAGTCCTAAATTTCACTACCAAGCTATTAGCGTAGTTCGGTGTGTAAGATTATCAAATTTAGTTTGGCTTAAACTAAAAACTTATAAACTGTTCCTTGTGTTTAATAGAAGTCTGTTTCTGTCTATTCATGAGAAGTGATAAAAGTACATTTTTGCTTCGTATACATTGACAAATATAAAAGCAAAAGGCTATTGGACTCTAGAATTGTTCACATATTTTCCATAAGCTGCTTTTTACTTTATATAGTTTTATACCATTATTTTAGATCCTAAGTTATATATAATCATACAATTAGTATATTAATTTATATATCATATAACTTGATGCAAAACCGTCAATTCAGTTAACGTAAAATATATTTTTGTTGTGTCTTTAGAAATTTGTATTATTCAATGAATCAAAAGTTCAAATGACTTAAGAGTGTTGCATCATATTATAAAAATAAAAAAAATTTTCTTTTTTAATATTTTACACTTAGCTGTTCATTTTTTGTAGAAATAAATTTTTAATTTGAAAAATAAAAGCAAGTTTCTATCCCTCTTAAATGAGAAATTCAAATCTTAATTTGTGAAATATTTTGGTTTTCATATTGTTTTTACTAAATTACATTGACAGTTTTAATAGATTATAAGTTAAAAAAAATAAGTCAAATTCTTTGCAAGTGACTATATTGGCATTAAAATAAACATTGTGACATATATTGTCAGATTTTCATTATACAAATCAATGTTTTCATAATAAAATTTATATTAACCAACCAATAATTAGCAATCTATCATAAGAGTGCCACTTTATTCTTAGTTATTTTGTGGTTATCAGATTTTATTATAGAAACTAAATGAAACATAAATGGTTATTTATAAATAAATCCAAAAGATATAAGCCATAGAAACAGATTTAACACAATATCCCATAGACCAAATTTGAAGCTGGCCATTGCAAAATATTGTCTTTAAGTACCTTTCCAATTTTTCTCAATGTTTGCAATGGTTCAAAAGTTACAGTTCTTTGAATCTTCACAAATTTTTCATAATTTGTGAGCATGCTATTTTAACTGACTTGTCAGTTTGCAAATGCTTGAAATATGTAACAAAAGAATCATATTGAGCCTCAATCTCATTCAAAATGATCATTTATTGATGGTTTGTAAGTTATTCTATTAAAGACAATACTAAAGAGATATATTAGACAACATAAATTTTTTTTTTTTAAATTATATAATAAAAGTTCAAGATAAATTTGTTAATTTTAACTCCTGAAATGATGAAAAACGTGTTCATAACATGAAATAGCCAAGTAGAAGCATATTAAACCCTCAAATTAAAAAAAATTTTTAATCATTTCTATTTCAGCAGATTTCACACTGCTTCTTTACATATTTTGGAAAATTTTATTTTGAAATGTCAAATGGTCCCAGAAAATTCTTTTCTGCATACCCATCAGCATCTTATCACTTTTTTTTTTTTTGTTTTTTTTGTTTTATATACACTCATTCTACTAAATATGAATTTTCTACTGAAAAAAAATTCTCTATATCTAAAAGAATAGAGCTTGAAATATTTTTCAAAGAACACCCCGAACTGCTTTTATGAGTGTACTTCTGGTTTGCATTTAATTTTTGCTGTTGTACGCAGATTCACTATTTAACACCCACAAAGGATTTAGATGTATTTTGTATTGCAGCTGAATTGTTTTGATGCAGCCTGTGTGCTATTGTTTTCACTTCATGCCGGTTCTGTGAATTGAAGGGTTGATTTTGAGGTAAAATAATAAGTCCTTCAGTGACATTAGGAAATGATCTCTTCAATTTCCTGATACTGTGAATCTCTTAAAGTCCTTGCAATTTTTAATGAAGATATTTTTTCTATAAAAGAAGGGTTTAAGTTTCCTGATAAAGGCAATATAATAAAGGTTGAAGTTTTCTATAATCGATCAGAAGGCAGCAGACATGTCTAGACATTGGAGGAGTTTGCTGTGATCTTTGAAGTGCCAACAAAAATGAATTTTCATGATGTTGAGATTGGCTGGGTTTTAATAGTGAAGATATTTTGAAGTTAGATTAGATCTTTGAGGACTTTGTTCAAGAAGATGGAACTCTTTTTAAACAAAACAAACAAAAAAAAAATAATGTCTGTTAAAGAGTAACAAACAGATTACTACCAATCAAGCTGCTTCTGTGCTGATCTTGCATGCACTTTGAGGTTCTTTGACCATTTCATGAAAATTGCTGTACATGTTAAAGTTGGTGTTTGTTTTTTTTTTTTCTTGATTGGTCCATCACACAGCAATAAATTCCTG